ACCTACTCGAGTTTGATGAAGAACCAACATGACCTGCGAGATACAATAAGAATAAACAATATGCAATGATAATAAACAAATGCAAAGTTAAATAATGTCAACACAAATCAATTTAAATAATGTCAGCACAAATCAATTTCTTATACCTGAGGTGGGCTGTGAAGAAGTCGAAGGGTCTGAAAAATACAATGAGAATAAACAAGTTATATGTAATGAGAACAAATAAATATATATTTAAATAATTTTCATACAAATCAAAGCAAATTTATATACCTGTGGATGGCACATAAGCCGATGACTCTAGTCGGGATGATAGCTGCTACGGTGCCACTGATGGTGGACGCACCGATGGTAGGCGTGGAGGCTGAGTAGATGATAGCTGTTGTGGTGCCAATGATGGTGGTCGATGCGGTGACACTAATGGCCCCTCTGATGGTGCTCGCTGTGATGCCTCCTCTAATGGTGGTGCCACTGATGGTGGACGCACCAATGGTAGGCGTGGAGGTTGAGTAAATGATAGCTGCTGTGGTGCCACTGATGGTGGTCGATGCAGTGGCACTAATGGTGCTTGCTATGATGCCTCCTCTAATGGTGGTGCCACTAATAGTGGTCGCTACGATGGCTGGTCAGATAATGGTGGCACTAATAGCCCCTCTGATGGTGGTCGATGTGATGCCTCCTCTGATGGTGGTGCCGCTGATGTCCTCTTACATACAACATCGGACATCATGCGTAGGGGATGATCAGGCTTCCTCTTCCTTGCCATAATAATCTGCAAGTGCCGTGACATTAATTGACATTAGAAACATAGAGAATGGTTTTGAATAAACTATAATATGACATTAATTAAACTAATACAATTACAAAAACAAAGTAAATTAAGAAACTGATGATTAACTACAACCTTGGCCTTAATTCAATTACTGATGTTTATTAAATATCAGTCTATTTCCACATCAAGTGTTTCTCCTTCGACGACTTCCCTCACCCAACCAACTTCTTCATCACGGAGCATTATGTTTTCTTCTAATTGTTGGCTCATATATGGCTCGATTTCTGGATCAGTCGAATTCATATCAAATAAACCTCTTTGAGACATCTTCACCACTACTTGCCAGTCTAGTTCTAACGGGTCTGTGACATACCAAACTTGCTCTACTTGGGATGCCAGGATGAAAGGTTCATTGGTAATTCGATCATCTCGGTACGACAAATGATTGAAGTTGACCAACGTGAAATTGAAGACATCTTGTATCTTCCCGTGAATGTTGTCAATCCAATCACACTTAAACAACACATTCTTCTTCTCATTGGAATATCGAATCTCAACAATATCTGTCAATTGTCCATAATAGTACACAGACCCCACATGAGGATTCTTGTCTTTCTGACTAGCGTAACTTTTGGTATCTGCCTTCAAAGCTACACCACAATTTTGTGTGGCTCGACGATCATCCATGACCTTTACTCAATACCGAAACCCATTCATTATATACCCGTTGAACCTCCTTACCAGGTTATGAGGACCATTTGCCAATACAATAATCTCTTCAGAAAATGTGACATCACTAGTCCTTCGCAAAGTTTGAACCTATTTAAAAAAAAAAATTGTAAAATTTAAAATGTAGTTCAACTTAGGTAAATAGAATCTATAGATTTAAATACATACATGTTCCTTGAACCAAATGTGAAAAGTTTCAAAATGTTCACGCCGAAACTGATGATCGTCAACACGAGGCATTTTGACCTTAAGTTCTTCAAGGTGTTTGCTGTGTAGATTGAAATTTTATCCAAAAAAAAAAATGGTTCAAAATTCAATGAAACATAATAAAATATTGAGTTAGTGAAACTTACTTTATGAATGGTTGAACCGCGCTTGTATTGAATAAGACATACCGATGAATTTGTACCCAAGAAATATTATCAAGATAAAAGCTTGTGCTTTCACCAACAGCACGACCCAGATTATCATCACCACTGTAGTTCCTCATGGGTCGATTAGATTTGGTTTCCACATCATTGAGATATTGTGCACAAAAATTCATGCATTCTTCCATAAGATATCCTTTAGCAATTGAACCTTTTGGATGAGCTTTATTACGCACATATTGCTTCAAAGTAAGAAGATACCTCTCAATTGGATACATCCATCGAAACTGAATCGCTCCACCCAATAATGCTTCGTCAGCTAGATGTACAGGCAAGTGCTCCATTATATCAAAAAAAGTAGGAGGAAATATTTTCTCTAGATGACAAAGTGTTATGGCGATACGATCTTGAATAATTGCAAATCCATCGCACGATTCACTTTGGAACACAATTGTCTAAGAAATTGCTCAATTCAATCAAAGGTTCAATTACATTCTTCGGTAACGATCTTCGAATGGCCAATGGAATTAGTTCTTCCATCAGAATATGACTATCGTGGCTCTTAAGACCCCCAATACTTCTATCATGTAAGCGCACACGACGCGATATATTGGATGAATACCCGTCGAATTGTCCACAGTAAAGCTGCATGCATTTGAAACATTTGATTTGTTGATGCATCAAATGTGGAGACATCGTCATTCCATAGTTCTTTCAACTCCTCAATCAACGGTTGCATATACTCATCAATCTTGTCACCGGGTCCTTTCGAGCCGTCGATAAGCACAGATAAAATTAGAAATGGTTGCTTCATGCACATCCATGGCGGCAAGTTGAATGGAATGAGTATAGCAGGCCAAGTGCTATGAACTATGTTCATCGTCCTGAATAGGTTAAAACCATCAGATGCTAAACCATCAGATGCTAAGCCAAGCCTTACAGTTCCGGCAATCATTACTAAAGTCAATATTCCGACGGTCAAAATCTTTCTATGCAAGGGAGTCTATAGGATGCCTAAAGACACCGTCATCAGTTCGTTTCTCTACATGCCATCTCATTAACTTAGCTGTCCTGGATGACATAAACAACCTCTACAGCCTTGGCTTTAAAGGAAAATACCTCATTTGTTTTGCAACTATTCGTTTGCCACCGTTGTTAGGACCATTTGAACCACCATCACCATTTGATTTCTATCTTGAACTGTTGCGTATGACACATTTATCAAGATTGGCGTCCTCATTTTGAAACAACATGCAACTGTTGGGACATGCATCCCACGTCTCATACGTGAAGCCCAAATCTATTGTGACCTTTTGAACTTTATAATATGAGTCCGGGAGTTTCACACCCAACGGGAACGCCTCATTCAATAACTCAAGCAACATGTCAATAGACTTGTCTATCCTCTGATTAAGCACATTCAGATGTAAAAGTTAAACAATGAATGACAAAGATGTGAACTTCTGACAACCCGGATACAATTCACTTTGTGCATCTTGACGAAATTTGAAATACTTTACAGTCTCTGCATTTGGACCGAGCTGGGGTTAAGAGGCATGGGGATCAGACCCCTGTGGTTCATTACCCTCAACATTTGTACCGGCATGTGGATTTCCCATAGCCCCTTGTATCATTCTAACCATATCGTCCCCAATGTCTAAATTAGCCAATGTTTCATTCTCTCGATTACCATGCAGAGATACGTAAGATTCTCCATGATTAATCCAATGTTTGTACTTTTTTAAAAAACCATTCAAAATCAGATGCTCCCATACACCCTCTCATACAAGATGGTATCGATTCTCACATTTTCTACACGGACAACTAATCATCGAACCTTCAACCCTATTGGTGTAGGCAAACACCAGGAATTGATCAATCCCATTAATATATTCCCTCGACATCCTATTTGGAAAATCAATCCAACTCTTATCCATTATCTGTACTTCCCTCAAATGCACACTTCACTTCTTTTGTAATCTTCTCAACAATATATATAAATATATTTAAATGCTAGTCATTTTCCACATGCATATGTGTTTCCCACTATTAATTTGCTTCAGGCAAACTTACTGGGAGATATATAGCTCACATGTAAAACAAATATGCCCTAGAAAAAAAATATAATTACAACAAATGTAAGGGTCATAATGAGATGTAAAGGTCAAAATATAATTACAAGACATAGTATCACATATTAATTATCCTAAGGGAAGAGGGGATTGGTGGGCTTCGAATCCCAATTAGTGAGGAAACAACCAAGGACCTGAGCTATTGGGCCAAATGCTATTCTCAAATAGTTCGTAGTTGGTTTACAATATGTTCATCAATTTGAAACTAACCAATGTTGGACAGGTCACAGTAATAAGTTAAGGGTACATTAGTCTGTCAGAATCTTTGAAGTCCTCACTTATTTTGAGCTAATATGCTATTGCACATGATAATATACTTCTCCATTCAACACTCTTGCTTGACTCAAAGATGAATTTTCAAGTATGCTAATTCAGCTGTTTGTTACTTCATAGCAACAAGCATGCAATGTGCACATCATTTCTTTCTTCACTACCATGTGTGACACACATATTTCAGGTTTGGTATATGGCATAAAGTAAAAAGACGAGACAATTTTGCAGATTCACAAACTATCATTATCATTTTGGTCTCTTTAGCCCGAAATAATTACTGCTAAAAGCCAAATCACATGTTTACTTCAATTCTGGTACAAAAATCTATATTAAGGAATATATTGATGCATTAGCTCCCAGCTAAATTGTTTAAATCTAAATTATTAGCCATTATATATGGCACCAATCTTTGTTGAAACTGGGTTAAGAATATTTCTAGATAAAGCTTGGCCTTATAGAATATCCCTTGAAGAATTGTTTGTCTCTTATGATTCATATTTAGCATGTTAGAAGGGAAAGCAATAAATCGCCAAATCCTATGGTACTTAGGAATCTTCGGTCCAAGACTTGCTAGTTCTATTATCCCTTTCATTTTATCTACAAAAATCATTCGTTTGCAAGAGTTTCAGAAATTAACATTCAAGAAAAAAAAGTTTCAAACGGATTTCTTAGAACTATTGTAAATTTTGATAGCATCTCAATGTCAATGCAAATAATTAAGGAAAGTTACCTATTTGCACCAATCCAAGTAGCTAAGTCGTTGTCCATCCATTCATCCCTCACCCTTCCAATAAGTTCTATTAAAGCATCCCTATTCTCAGCCCATGCTTCCAGAATAACAGGTTTTATCTTTGACCAGTTCTCCAATATTCCCTCAACTGTGAGTCCCTCTGCAGCCTTACATATCAAACCACAGCAGTCAAGTCCAGAACAATTTGAAATAAGTGAATATAAATATCCCAAATTGATCTTTATTTTTTATTTACATTTTTTTTGTTTTAATCTGTGCTAATCAGTTAAAGACAAGAGTTATCAATTTCTTGAAAAATTTTTGACTACTTGACTTCCATGTTTACTGAAAAATGGAAAATACTAACGAATTGAATTCATTGGCAAATCAAGACAACAAATATCAACGGAATAGATGTCCAAACCTGATGGTGACGAAACATATACATATTCTATAGTTCAAAAATATAAGATGAACTTCGCTTTACAATGCATTACATAATTTAGGGGGAAAAAAAATATTTCTCATCTGTTTTCCCTACGATACTGATAATTTTAAGTCATTTATTGGAAACAGTTTCTACATATTTATAAATTAAAAAGATTAAAAAAAATGAAGTTTAATTAGAAATAAATAAAAAAAAAATGCATTGCATGAAATGCTAATATTAATTCTTACTGTGAAGATCACCCACAGAAGTCCAGAAAAGTAGTTAAAAGCTATAGAAGGAATTTTGAAATTGCTCAAAATTCATATAATGCTCCGATCTTAACTAGAGATTGAATTCAACAAAACACAGATCCATCATCTACCTGACCAAGCTCGCGCGCGCGAGCGAGGAAGAGAGAGAGAGAGAGAGAGAGAGCATACTGACTGAGCTCGCGCGAGAGAGAGAGAGATCGTAATACGCCATCACCGCACCACCGCTAGCCGTCATCACTCGTCGAGAGAAAGATCGTCGGTGAACACTCGCCTTCGTCACTGTGATCATCGGTGAACTCGAACACCGCCAGCCGTCACCGTCGTCGCTCGTCGAGAGACGGAGAGAGATCGTCGTTGAACTCGTCTCTGTGATTGTGATACATGAACTCGATTTAAAAATTTGGGGGGTTTTGAGGGAGAATGGTGTTAGGGATTTTGGGGATTTTAGGGAATTTGATCGAGTGCCATTTCGGCTGAAGAAGGGAGATGAAATTTTTCAGTACTATTTGCGACGACATGGAAAAACCGTCACAAATGATCAAATCCATTTATAAAATGACGCCGTTTTAATAAGGGTTTTTTTTGCGACAAAGATATCCCATCACAAATGTCCACTATTTGCGATGGTAAATTTCACCCATCTCAAAAAAAAAGTTTTTGCGATGGTAAACAGTGTCGTCGCTAATACTTCCGTATTTAAGTGACTTTTTGTTGTGTGCTTATTAGCGACGGGAAAACTGTCGTCGCAGAAAACATTATTTGAGACGGCTTCACATGTCGTCGCAAAAGACCACTTTTTGCGACGGTATACATGCCGTCGCAAAAAATTCCGTGTTTTATACCCACTTTTCTTGCAGTGAATGTTAATAATACTAGCTAGTGTACCACTTAACATAGGTTTCACTTAACATTCTACTTAGGCTTTGTTTCGTTAGAGCTTTTTGACTAGAAAAAACACAAAAGATAAAATAGAAAATAAGTTAATAAGACAAAATGTCACATCTAAATTAGAATTATTTTTTTTTTCTCTCACAAAAAAAGCCAAACCAAACAAAATTTTAATCTCAAACTAAAATAGTCAAAAAATTAACTAAAAAAGTCAATTGCCAAACCACAACTTAGTTGGTATCGATACACTAGTTAGTGTTCTTAGTATTAAAATGGTGATGATGAACAGTAAATTTTGACCCGATTTCTTTATTTAGGCTCTCGAATGAATGATTCTATCATTTAGCAATAATTTTATTTGGATGTCCCTTTTTAGCAATATTGTTATGATATGTTTCTAATATTTTCTAATATCTAAATTTAGAAATAACTCAAATCACCAATGCTATGGATATTAAATATTATACACTAAGCACCATTAAACTCACATATTGCCATTTTTTTCAATTTTCTATTTTATTTATTTTCTTGCCTAATTAGTGTTTCCTTTTGAGATTGGGATTAGTATATTATACATAATCATACACCCTTTAGGACGAGGACTTTTGAACAATATATTTAGTATTTTTTTTTTCCATATATTCAGAAATTTTTAGTCTCCTACATCAATTTATTTCTTTATTATGCACGATATATAGAGTTGTTAAATAAATGAAGCTGCTAGAACTCAACTGGTGTTCGACTCATTTTAATAATATTTTTATTTTGAAATGTCTGTTTTTAGAGATGTCGTTTTGGCATATTTCTAATATTCTCTAGTATCTAAATTTAGGCATAACTCAAATCAACAATACTAAGGATCCTAAATATTTGTAGACACTAAGAATAAAGTGTGTGTAGAATATTTGGGACATTAAGCATTATTCAACTCAAATATTGCCAAATTTGATAATTTGCTATGTAAAAAAATATTTTTTTTTATTATCAATTATGGCTTATTAATTATGACCAAGTCTTATTTAATTGATTGAGACTTGTCGACTATGGCCAAATTTAATTCTATTGGTTGTGACTAGTCAATTTTGATCTATCTACCATAAATTATTTTTAGTATAAAGTTACGAACACATATATTATTATTATTATTATTATTATTATTCGTTTGGTGTAAGACCATGGTACCAACTTACCAAGTGGGGCAACATGGTTATGTGGCAGGAAAGTGCTATCATGGTGGAGCAGTTTGTGGCAACGTGATTTAGCAGCAGTTTGTAGCAATGTTAAGCCTATAAATAGGCTGAAGGATGAATAAGCGTGTCATATCAAATTCATGAGAGTTCTTTTTTCAAAAGCATTTTATCTTAATTTAGGAATAGATTACCTTAATTTAGGAGTAGCTTTTAGCGGTTAGTTTCGGTTCTTGTAACCTTTCTTACTCTTGTTGATTGTGTAACAAAGATTGTGCTTGTTATTTGATTAATACAATTGAGTAGCAAGTTTTAATTTTATTACCAACTTTGGTATGTTTGTACTTATTTCTTCACATTACAATCTCCAAAGAAATTCTTGAATCTGTCAAGGCACAGGACACTAACCACATTGCTTGATCAGTTAGTTTATCTGCGAAAATTGGTTTCTCTGTTGACTTTTCCCTGTCAATTTGATCCAAACTAGATTTTTACTAACATATTTTAGCACGCCCCATGGGGCTTGTCTAATTTGTAGTGATAGCAAAGAAGGAGCAAACAGATATATATGAAGATTCAGACTTGGGCCAAACTAGTGGCTCATTCATAAAAATCAAAAATGCCCGTCTTATTCAAATAGAGCAATTATTGGAAATCATGTTTCCACATGAAAAGCAAGAATTGTTTGAAGAACTGAATGACATATTTAATTTTAAGTTGGCTCATAAAATGCAAACTGTTATTCATAAAGAGCCAAGGTATGAAACTAATATGGCTCAAGGGATCAACACACTAAGTCATGAAGATAACATGATTTTGGAGAGTTTTCATAAGCCGTCAATGGCTAAAATTAAAAAAACAACACATTCTCCCGAAAGATGTTTAAAATCCATCACAAAATGATTGTGAAGATTTACTTGGGGGGCATAATTTTAAGTCAAAGATGGCTAAAAATTATGAGCGTTGGGGGCATAATTTTAAGCCAAATATGGCTGAAAATTATCAGGAAAAAAAAAAAAAGACAAAAAAATGATGAACAACAATCCCTTTTGACAAAAGATGATAAAAATTATTTGGGAATTCAACATTTTTGTTATCATTCAAAATAATAAAATATACGAGTTTTTAAAACCAATTTATACTATGGTTTTTGTTATTCAAAATTTATTTTGGATTTGTGGGTCACACCAATGTATAAATTTGATGGAGTGGCAATCAAAAAAACAAAATTTAGACAGCATATCGATTGTTTTACACATATTTTTTAGTGAAAGAAAATTAGCTAAAAATTGGCTCTCTTTGTTTGTATCCTGTCAAATATCATGCCAAGACAATAAGTGGCTTTGGAAAAATAATTAATTGTGTTCTCTTTTGAATTATTCATTGGTTTGAGAGAGGAGGACAGAGAAGGGGATTTTGCTCTTGGACAATAGAGTATTCCTAAACCCATTACACCACAAGTCTCAATCACAAATACACACCAGCCAATTCTATATTCAAATGGCAAACAAAGTTCTACTCAAAGAAATAAAAAAGGGTTCAAATTTTGTGTTGTCTCCTTTATCTCCATTTATGCTAAGCTTGATTGCCGCGTGATCAAAAGGACGTACTCTGAAACAACTTCTTTCTTATTTGGGATCGAAAAGTATTGATGATTTGAATATTCTATTTTCACATGTTTTCACTGCGACTCCCAATGAAGAAAGCAAGAAAAAGAAAAACCAAAGTCCTTGTTTATCATGTGCAAACAGTGTGCGGATTGATCGATGTTTTAGTTTGAATCCTTCTTATGAAAAGATTTCGAAAGCTTCTTATAAAGCCAAAGCTAAATAGATTTTAAACACAAGGCATTTTTTTTTTTCTTTTTTCTTTTTATCTTAGAGAAGAAACTAAATATATTGTTAGGGTTGAAAACGAACCGAGTAATAGGTTGTTCAATCCCAATAATATATTTAGTTTCTTCGAAAGAGGTTGATTTTCAAAACAAGGTATTTTTCTTTTTTAATTTTTATTTGTCTTATAGAAGAAACTAAATCTATAGTTAGAGCTCAAAGCGAGCCAATTAGTAGTTTGTTTAGGTTTAGTTTAACAACTTAATGAGTTTAAAATTATATTTAAATATTTTTTTTCCACATAACGAGTCAATCTTGAATGGCTTTTTAATAATTTGAGTCGTATATAAATTTATCGAATTGAGTAATAGGTTGTTAAGTTTGAATTGAAAACTTAATGAAGAATTTAAAATTATGTTCATACCTGGTTTGAGTCAATCTTGAATAAGTTTTGGGTAAAGGAAAATGAGTGAGAACACTAATTAGTGCTATCACTAATGATGTGGCAGTGGGTGCCACAGTATGTGCTGTGTCTTGTTTTTTTTTTTCCACCTCACTAGTGGTGGATTTAGAGCACAATATTTAGAGCTCTAAATCATTACTGTTGGGTAAATTATGCAAATGGTCCCGGTAGTTTACACGATGTGTTAATTTGGTTATTGTTGTTTCAATTTTCTCGATTTTGTCCCTTAATTTAATGAATTGTATCCTTTTAGTTCAATAAATAATGGTTGTTAAGTTTGGTGGACGGAAAGTCTACAGAATCTGTCAATTTGATTTATGTAGTTTACACAATGTGTCCATTTGGTCACTATTGTTTTAATTTGCTCGATTTTGATAAGGACCAAATTGACACATAGTTTGACTTTCCGTCTTCTAAATTTAACCACCGTTATTTATTGAACTAAAATGACACAATCTATTAAATTAAGAGGCAAAATTGAGCAAATTGAAACAATAGAAACCAAATTGACATATCAAATAAACTATAAGAACTATTTGTATAATTCACCCTAGTGAGCCAAATATGAGTGGGGCTTAAATAATTTAGTTCATTTAATAGTCCTATATATTGTGCATTAATGAAGAAATTAATTGAAGTAGTAGACGAAAATGGAAAATGGTATGGATCCCAAATGATTTATCAAAATTTCTACCAAATCTCTCACATGGCTATGGGACTCACACACTTGTGAGTTTGTATGGGTCTCACACCCATGTAAGAGATTTAGTAGAAATTTTGATAAATCATTTGGGATCCATACCATTTTCCATTTTCGTCTACTACTTCAATTAATTTCTTCATTAATGCACAATATATAGGACTATTAAATGAACTAAATTATTTAAGCCCCACTCATATTTGGCTCACTAGGGTGAATTATACAAATAGTTCTTATAGTTTATTTGATATGTCAATTTGGTTTCTATTGTTTCAATTTGCTCGATTTTGCCTCTTAATTTGATAGATTGTGTCATTTTAGTTCAATAAATAACGGTGGTTAAATTTAGAAGACGGAAAGTCAAACTATGTGTCAATTTGGTCCTTATCAAAATCGAGCAAATTAAAACAATAGTGACCAAATGGACACATTGTGTAAACTACATAAATCAAATTGACAGATTCTGTAGACTTTCCGTCCACCAAACTTAACAACCATTATTTATTGAACTAAAAGGATACAATTCATTAAATTAAGGGACAAAATCGAGAAAATTGAAACAACAATAACCAAATTAACACATCGTGTAAACTACCGGGACCATTTGCATAATTTACCCAACAGTAATGATTTAGAGCTCTAAATATTGTGCTCTAAATCCACCACTAGTGAGGTGGAAAAAAAAAACAAGACACAGCACATACTGTGGCACCCACTGCCACATCATTAGTGATAGCACTAATTAGTGTTCTCACTCATTTTCCTTTACCCAAAACTTATTCAAGATTGACTCAAACCAGGTATGAACATAATTTTAAATTCTTCATTAAGTTTTCAATTCAAACTTAACAACCTATTACTCAATTCGATAAATTTATATACGACTCAAATTATTAAAAAGCCATTCAAGATTGACTCGTTATGTGGAAAAAAAATATTTAAATATAATTTTAAACTCATTAAGTTGTTAAACTAAACCTAAACAAACTACTAATTGGCTCGTTTTGAGCTCTAACTATAGATTTAGTTTCTTCTATAAGACAAATAAAAATTAAAAAAGAAAAATACCTTGTTTTGAAAATCAACCTCTTTCGAAGAAACTAAATATATTATTGGGATTGAACAACCTATTACTCGGTTCGTTTTCAACCCTAACAATATATTTAGTTTCTTCTCTAAGATAAAAAGAAAAAAGAAAAAAAAAAAGTACCTTGTGTTTAAAATCTATTTAGCTTTGGCTTTATAAGAAGCTTTCGAAATCTTTTCATAAGAAGGATTCAAACTAAAACATCGATCAATCCGCACACTGTTTGCACATGATAAACAAGGACTTTGGTTTTTCTTTTTCTTGCTTTCTTCATTGGGAGTCGCAGTGAAAACATGTGAAAATAGAATATTCAAATCATCAATACTTTTCGATCCCAAATAAGAAAGAAGTTGTTTCAAAGTACGTCCTTTTGATCACGCGGCAATCAAGCTTAGCATAAAATGGAGATAAAGGAGACAACACAAAATTTGAACCCTTTTTGATTTCTTTGAGTAGAACTTTGTTTTCCATTTGAATATAGAATTGGCTGGTGTGTATTTGTGATTGAGACTTGTGGTGTAATGGGTTTAGGAATACTCTATTGTCCAAGAGCAAAATCCCCTTCTCTGTCCTCCTCTCCTTTCTTTTATATTGTTTCCCTAGCGACCCTCCAAGGGCCCACTGCTTCCTTTTGGGCTTTGACCTTATTCATGGACCCTCTATATAGCCGATGGGATAATCGGCTCCGATAGCCCTTTAAGCCTGGTTTTACTCGGCTTTGGCCCTCTACTGGACCTGATATGGCCGACTTTTCTGTGACCATGGATTCGGCGTGTTCCGCTAACTCGTACTATGTCAGCCCAGGACTCAGTTTCATTTATTCGGCCACCACAAGACTCCATTATAGTTTTCCAAACAAAGTTGCAACAATCTTAGCCTTCCACTAGTATATATACAGTTGTGTAGATCGACTCCACTAGAAGAGGGTAGGGTTGGACAACCTTTGGCTGGGATGAGCTTACTATATAGTAAAAATATGTGTCAGTTTAAGTCGGTCCGGATCAATATTGGGTTTAATCTAATTATCCCAACTCTAGTCTTAAAAAATTTTAAATCTTAAATCTGCCAACTTAACCCAGTTATTATAAGTTATAAATTTTTTTATTTGTTATTTTTGTCTTGAATAATATTAAATTATTTGGATCCTTTTATTTATTATTTGAATTTGAAACACTAACAAAATTCAATGATAAAATAAATATGATTTTTAATAAATATTTTAATTTAAATTCTAGAAAGAAGTACATATACTTTTTTTTTTCTTCTATATTTTTTATATTATTGTTTTATAATTGAAATAATATAAAATTATAATTAATGTATTAAAATTGGGTGAGTTAGGCTGAGCTCGGCTAGAACTCTTTATCCCAAGCTCAGCCCAAATATTAAATGGGCACAAAATTTCAACCCAACCCGGCCCTATATGGGTAAGATAATTTTCTCAAACCTTAAAAATATTAGGTTGGGCTGCAGTAAGTGGGCCATTGAGCCGATGGCTACCCCTATATAAGGGTGTCTAGCGTTGGCTTTTAAGAACTCTTTTATCATATTTAGTGAATTATTTTAAAAGAATTAAAAGATTAAAAAAATTATATTCTACTTGACTATATATTCCGAATTTTTGTATTTAGTGATCACAAATAAACTAGTGCTTAAAAAAAATTTATTTAACATAATTTTAATTTTTGTAATGATTTTTTTACTTAAAAAAAGTTAATTTTTTGACTGGAACTAGAGTTTGCCAAATCAACTTTGGCTTTTAAGCTCAAAGGGCATTAAGAATATAAAAAAAAAAAAAATTTAAGAAGGAGTTTATTAATTTAATTTTATTGGTCATTAAGATACAAAATTAGGATATGCGCATTGATTTCATCTAAATGAACTATGCATACAAAGTTTGTTGCACCAATGAAAGTTCATAATTTTTTTTTTTTTTTTTGTCAATCGATAAGAAAGTGATTATAAATATGAAAATTAATACAATATGAAACAGACTACTAAACACAATAATTAGAAAGTCACTTAAGAACCAATTACTAAGCCCACCAAGTCAAACTAACAACTCCCATAATGAGGGAGAAATAAAGACCATCGCATAAAACGTATCAAACTCCTCTTCATAGGAGTTAAATTTGAAATCTCACACCACAAAAAATGTTATATAACCATTAGGTTAAATACCTAATTCAGTGAAACTTCGTACATGTGGTAGTGGTTTTGTTAGATATATTTTAAAACAATTGAGCTCTTAGATTGGTCCCTAATTCTTGGATAAGCTCACCTCATGGACATGTACATTGAAAAGGCTTTAGTCATGGGCTTGCGTCAAATTGTGCATTATATAAAGTGGCATAAAGCCTATCACAAGACAAGGACAGGATACGAGTACAACAAGCTAGTAAATCGTAAACAAATTAGACACAAGAAAAGGTCCCACATGGATATTTTTTAACGACTAATGTGACTGTGCCCCCCAATCATAGCTAGTCTCAGCTTTACCAAGCACATAAGTTGTACCCAAGGGAGTCCCAAATGAAATTATCAACACAGCAGTGTAGTAATTTTAATGCAAAATCTTTGTATAATATAAGTTATAATAATATAACCTAGCTTGAGAAGAGATCAAGCAACCAAGAGTGGATTGAGCACTGCACCAGTGAACAACACAGTTCCAAAAGTGTCATCCCTTATCATGAACATGAAAGGGTGATCTGCTACAAACCTTGGAGTTGGAATCCTTTTACTGAAAAACTAGATTATGTCTGCAGTACTAGCTGCAGCTTCTGTGCAGGGCCGGCCCTGGGGTGAGGCGACCAAGGCGGTCGCCTCAGGCCCCCAATTTTGAACAAAATTTAGGGCTCCCAATTAGGGGAGTGTATCATGTCGTGTTATTTCACTACAACAAAATGCACCTTTGGCGACTAAATTTTTAGTCGCCAAAAGTACAATTTTTAGTCTTCAAATATTTTGCCCAACTAAATATTTTGGTCGCTGGATTGGTCGCGGGAAGCTTGTCGGGGAAGGTATTGGCGACTACATATTTTTTAGTCGCCAAAAGTCCTATAAATAGCTACTAATTTTTTAGTCGCCAAAAATCTTATTTTCTGCTACTAAAACTTTGGTCGCCAAAACTTGAAGTATCTATGGCGACCAAAGTTTTAGTCGCCAACGAGTTTTTTTATCTTTTTATTTTTTTTATTTTATTTTTTTTTAGCTACTAAATTCTTAGTCGCCTAAAATCTGAGATACAAAGCAACCAAACTGAAATTCAGCCCATGTCCTCACACTTGACAACCTAAACTTTCACCATTGCAGAGCAAGCAATGGCCCCTCAATTGAAATTGATATCTAGGGAATCGAAATTAGAACAATTCGAAAACTACACTTGATCTGCGAGACCAGAGATCAAATTAGAGCTGAGAGAGAGAGAGAGAGAGAGAGGACTTACACGGTCTCTTGAAGGACCCCTTGGTAAATACAAGCAGACCAAATGCCGGTGACGCAAAAGGCGAGCACCATAACATGCCGTAGTCCGGCGCCGTGAGACTCCATTTACAAAGTCCGCTGGAATCACCAGATTGGGATTGAAAAGAACATGAAGGAGAAAAAAAACGAGATTGAGAGATTCAGACCGTGAGAGAGAGAGAGAGAACATCTGTAAAGGGCTAGGGCAAATATAAGGAAAAGGAGAAAATAAATAAAAGAAAATAACAAACGGCGACTAAATGTTTTTTAGTAGCCAAAACCTTACCAACCAGCGACCAAATATTTGTTTAGTCGCGAAAAGTAGTATTTGGAAACTAAATATTTTAGTCGACAATTAATTTTATAAATCCCTCCAAAATTTAAAATGTTTCCCTCCAAATATTTTAGTTTTTTGGCGACTAAAATTTCTTTTTGTCGCTAAAAATATGTTTTTGGTAACCAAACTTTTGGTCGCCAAAGATAAAAAATAATTTTTTATTTTACATTTGGCAACTAAAGCTTTTTAGTAGCCAAATCTCTACCTACGGCGACTAAAATTATTTTTCGTCGCTGAAAATCAACTTTTCAAAGGTAAAAAATAATTTTTTATTTTCCAATCGGCGACTAAAGCGTTTTAGTAGCCAAATCTCTACCTACGGCGACTAAAATTTTTTTTTGTCGCCAATTTCTGGCATTTTTGGCAACTAAATTTTTTTTTAGTCGCCAATAAACAATGTACCCCGACTAAAAAAAATTAGTAACTAAATATTTTACTTTTGCCAACTAAAAAAATTTTTAGTCGCCATTTCTACAACTTTTGGCGACTAAGTTTTTTTTGGTCGCCAATTTTGGTCGCCAAAGACGCATTTTGTTGTAGTGTTTCATAATCATTTCAATATTAGCTCAATTTATTTATTTTTATATTGTCGTGTGGTGTTAGTTTGATTCGTGTTCCATTGATATTTAATGTGAAAATTTTTACTTATAGTTAAAAATAACTTAGCAAGTGTATCGAGAGATTAAATTTTTTCTCATAAGTTGAATTTTATAAAATTTATTTCAACTAAATGAAATTATTCATAGAATGTTTGATTTTAATTCAATTGTATTTTTCTAATTAAAAAAAATTTACCTTCTTACTGTATATTTTTTATTAGATTGACTCTAAAATAGGTAACAAAAAAATATATATCTTAAATGAAAAAAAGATATTAGCCTTAATTATTATTTTACATATTTTTTTATTCAGTTAGATGGAATTCAATAAAAGATTAAAAAATGTCATGGCATCCCTTAGTGAATATTCAAATATATAACTAATAATTCATGTTATTGAGTCGTGGCATACTTGGATTCATGTTAAAAAATAGTCAACCTTAACTTGCTAATTTTATATATTGCTTGAGCCGTGTCAAAAATTCTCATCCTTATGCCCAATTAATTTTAGTTCTTATAACATTGGTAAGCTAAAAAATAAAGATTCAATTCAACTAATTGAAGTTTAACTATTATATATATATATATATATATTTGTTATCTAAATTTTGTTAAATTGTAATGTAATAGAAATAAATTTTTACCTTTTTTTTTTTATCCAAACAAATTTTTTTTTTTTTTTTTTTTGATAATGATATATAAAGGGTCCAATTTAAAAAATTCGCCTTAAGCCCCTAATAAGTTAGGCTGGCCCTGCTTCTGTGCCTTCCTCATTCACTTCAATACATGACTTATGAAAAACTTTGGATAGATAAAGACCACCACCAAGTTCATCGCCTTCGCCCCCGTCTACCACCATCTCAGTCAATTTACCAACATCCATGAAAGGTAGTTCCAACCCCATTTCCTTAATTGTCTCTGAAGCTTCAAACTCGAATGAGAATTTGAATCTTGGGATCCATAATTCAAGAACTTCCTCTTCCCACAACTTAAATTCTTGATTCATGAATCCAGGGTTGGAATTGAGTCTCTTTACTAGTGTAGGCAAGCCATTTGTATCATCTGGAAGAAAAAAGTACATATAGAATTGACTACTTTGGTAAGGAATACTGAGGATTTTGTATCCATCGAATGATCCATATAGATGATGGTGTTTAAATTTTTCTCTTGTCATTAAGGGAACGCGAACAGTCTTTCCATTGAGAAGATGAAATTTCATGTTTCTTGTTAGTTTTTTATCGAATTTTCGATCCCATTTTCCTTTGAAGTAGAGGGCATTTGCAAAGAGGAGTGCAGTGTCACCATTTGTAGATCCAGGACGAAAGAGGTCCTTGATGAGTCCCTTGGTTTCATTTTCAACCCATGAATTTACTTCATCAATCACTTTATCAGCCATGAAGGACAACAAAAGATTAATGACATAGAATGAGTAGCTAAAGAATGATTTTTGTGTTGGATTATACAATTGAACTATTACATTGAAGCATTATCAATTATTAGAGTTTATTATGAAACGTTGAGGTTTTTTTTCATCATGAAATATGAAAATTTTTTCACATTATGAGTAAATTACCAGTAGGAATTTTTTTCTTTATTATGAATAAATTTCATTTGTTCTTTAATTTGTGATCTCAACCAAGCCCATTAACAGGTTATGTTTGTCATTAAAAATAAATAAAAAGTCAATAAAGAGTTGTTAGTAACAATATCAATAAGAGCATGACAAAAATAAAGAATTTCATATTCTTCAATGATCATTACAATTCAAAATACATGACATTTTATTACAATACAAACGCGAATATGAAATGGCATTAGTCATATTCTCCAATACTCATTTTATTGGCATTGCTACACAAAATACAAGAGTGTGCTAAATCAACATTTTTACGATATTAATATTACATTTAATTCCTTCAATATTCAAACTCAATGGATTGTTCTTTACTTCATGAGTGTTGGTAGCCATAAATCTCTATGTTTGATTGTTATGGAATTACACCATGCCTAATAAGGTCTTCATTTGTTTGACGTCTCGGACTCTGTCATACAAAGTACTGCAATAACACCACAATTACATTTTTTGCTTCTAAATCTAATCTCAATGGTTTCATCCCCTATCTCCACCAGTACCAATAGATGTTGATGTTGAACATCTGAAGAAAAAAAAAATTCAAGCAGAAAATTCATAATCAAATTAAACCATATTGTTATCTCATAACAATTATGAACATTATGAGGTCATGCTCCATGAGAATCATTCGTCTAGTATTTTTCAACTTTTATAAATTTATAAGAATCAATCTTTTCTGATTCGCAGTTTTATAAATTCAACTTTCAACTTCTACATTTTTTGTGTCTTCTATTTCAGTCTCAATATCAATTTCGTCACAGTCCTCATTTGATCCACTCGATATTTCTTTATCCATACCTCTACAATGTAAATAACAAATTAAAAAAAAAATTATTCATAACAAAGGCCACAAAAACCTTAAGTAAGTAGAAAATTAAATTATTTTATTAACTTTTCTGTTGAAAATTTGTAAAAATTCAAGCAAAATATTCAGTAATAAAAAATTCAAGAAGAGTAACAAAGATAAAAAATTCAGCAAGACTGTATGTAACAAAGATTTTCAGTAATAAAAAATTCAGCAATATGTTTAAGTGAAAGAGAGGAGTACCAGTCAATGACAGCAAAGACGAAGAAGGTAGGTCGCTCTTCGGACGATGCTTATCTTTCTCTCTCTCCCCAATTCGTTCTAAGAAGAAGGTATTCAACTTTCTCTCTCTATCAAGGTTCTGAAAAGCGATTGCGGTTGCCGTAACAGTGGCAGTGGTGCGATTGTGGTTGCGGGGTGTAAAGGTCGTAGCGTAACGGTTGCGGTAACCGGAACTGTAAATTTTTTTATTTTTTGCACAATTTAAAAAACAATTTACCAATACACATATTTTTTTTCCATGATCATATTTATTGGGTTTTAAAATAAATATTGATCAATTTTTATAAATTTTTAAGTATGATCCAATATATTTCATATTTTTAAATCACTATAAACTGAATTTTTTACATTTTATTTTAATAATTAATGACTTTATATTATACAAAAAATCAATCACTAACTATTATATATAAAATAACAATAACAAAAGTAAGAAAATAAATAAAAGTGTAAATATATATTTATATACATATTTTAATCAAGCCAAATAGATAAAGATCACACTGATTGTTATTATTATTATAGATAGATACACACAAATAAAATGGTTGAGTGATAGCAGTTGAATAGAATAGTATAGGTCTTACACCTTCAACAAATCAATAACATGTTCTTCATCTTCCCTCTTCTCTCTTTCTCTATCTCTTGCTCCTTCATCTTCATTCTTTATCTTCCCTCTTCTCTCTATCCCTCTTCCCCTATTTTTAGCCTTTTTTTTTTTTGGTGTGTTTTTTCGAAAGAAGTATTCGAAACCGTTACGTAACGGTGCGTAACAGGCCGTTACGGCTGTTACGGCACCGTTACGACCGCTATGGCAATCACTACGACCAACACACTTGTAAATCTCAATCATACTACAAAAGTGGCTGTAACGGATGACGGTAATCACCACAACCGTTACGTAACAACGTTACGTAACGATTGCGGCCGCTTTTAAAACCTTGCTCTCTATGGTCTTTCTAACTTCTCTTCTTTGTTTATTTTTTTTAATAATATGTTGGGGGCTCCACCAAGATGAGTTGGTTAATGTCAACTCATTCATGAAACCTTTCCTGATAAATCTTTCATGACCCCTAACATTATTACATAATTTTCAACTCATTAAGTTTTCAAGACAAGTTTGAACAAATAGTATTTAGCTCTATAAGCTTATTTGCACTAAGAAAAATTAAGTTACTCAAACTTGACTTGTATTCGATTTGTTAAAAACTCGTTACAGATCGACTCGTTATTTAAATAAAATTTTAGACTGGTTAAATTATTAAATCAAATATGAACAACTTACTACTCAGTTTCAATTTGTTTTAAATCCTAACAATATATTTAGTTTCCGCTAGGACCAAAAAAAAAAAGAAAAAAAGAATAGAGTACCTTGTTTGCAAAGTCAACCTCGTTGGCTTTGGCATCATAAGAAGCTTTCAAAATCCTTTCATAAGAAGGACTCAAACTGAAACGTCGATCAATCCACAAACCATTGGCAAACGATATAGATGGACTTAAAATTTGGTTGTTCTTGTTCTTGCCACCTTTTACATTGGACATCATCGATGTAAGAGGGATAAACTGTGAAGACATAAAATTGAGATCGCCAATACTTTTTTATCCCAAATACGAAAGAAGTTGTTTCAAAGTACGTCCTGTTGATCCTGAGGCGATCAAGCTCAGCATAAAATGGAAAGACAAAGGAGATAACACAAAATTTGAACCCTTGTCCATTTGTTTAAGTAGAACTTGGTTTGCCATTTGTATACAGAATTGTGTGCTGAAATTACTAGTGTAACTGTGATGGACACTCCATTGTGGGTTTCCAAACAAAGTTAGCCAATATCTGTGTCTTCTAAGTTCTTTACTTAGGACAATGGTGTTTATATATAATCGCCCAGACGGACTCCACTATGTAGGTTGTGTCTGGAATTGATTTTTTTAATAAATTTTTATTTTAGTGTATTGTTTTTAATTTAATTTTTTTCTATAACCTTTCAAATTTTACGTTCTATTTCGACTACACGGATCAAAAAAGTTTTTAAAAAGAAAGAAAATAATTTCACCCAAGAAAAAAAACCAAAAAAATCAGTTTTTTTGTTGTTGTTGTTGTCTGTAATGATTTTTTTTTTTTAAATTACTTTTTTGAGTTTGCACCAATATGCACCGTATGTAGGCTTTCAAAAGGGACAAAGGCTAAGCTAAAATAGATCAACATTGGACTTAAAAAAAAATAAATAAATAAAATGTGACACAAATTTAAGAGAAAATGACTAAAGATAAAATATTCGAACTAAAATGTGATTTTTTGTTTGCTGGTCCCATTCACCCTTCTTCCTTTGGTACTCTTAAGCTAGATTATTGACTTAAAATAAGTCCATAAATAAATTAGTGCTTAAGCACTAATTTGATTGATATTTTTTATTTTTTAAACTTTTTTAATATATATTTTTTTACTTGAAAGAGTTAACTTTTTTTTTAATAACCCAAGGGTGTTTCGCAACTTGGTAAAGGCTTCGGGGTTAAGACCCTAGGTCCCAAGTTCAAAACTCTTTGGGCCAATCTCCTGGACGTAGGGCAGTTGGTTAGGAGGTTAGCCTCAAGTTGTTGCTACCACAGCACTTGGTGTGGGCCCCATACTCCCCTGTTGCTTGAGTCCTGACTTAAGCGGAGCTTGTCTTGGAAGATCGGAGCAAGTTCCCAAGTTATAGTCTCCTATCTCGGAACGGGCAACAGGACACCTTGGTGATCTCTGCAAGGGGCGCTGCCCTGGACCTGCGGGAGAGTGGAAGGATTTTCCTGTAACAAAAGAAAAAAAAAGAGTTAACTTTTTGATAGGAACAAGAGTTTACCAAATCAATTAATTATATATAACTTTATGTTTGGCCGGCCGGCACTTTTTGTGGCCGGCCGACCATATATTTTGGTCAAATTGTATTTTTTGCCAGCCGACCACTGTTCATCTGCTTTTGTAGATATTTTTGTGCCAGTTATCACAGCTGGCACCCACCTTTGCTCCCCTCCATACACGTGTATGAGGGGGATTTCAACCTTGTTAGCTTGCCTTGGAAGCTTTACAAAGTTGAATCTTCTATAAGAGGAAGCCTTTTCTCCCTCTTTGGGGGAGAGAACATTTTTCCAGAGCTTTGAGTTCTAGGGTTAGGGTTTGCATATCCTCCATCTCTATATCTCTCTTTCTCTTGTGTATTAGTGTGTGTTTTGTCTTACTTTTGCACATAAACACCTAATCTTACACCTTTTCTTGGTTGCTGAGGGGCCAGAGGTCTCTTCTTAGTATTCTTAAATTTAAGAGCATTGTTATTGAAGATAAAAAAAAAATTATATATAATTTTCAAATTCAGTGATGTGACAATTAATTAAGATATTAAATGTGACACTCTCTTTCATATTTTTTTTCTAATCATTAATCAATTATATCACTTATACATTATTAAGTCTAAAAATAGACTTATCATTTTTCTTTATTTAATTTTACTGGTCACCACTAGGACACAATTTAGGATATATGAGCATTGATTTCATCTAGATGAATACTTGTTGCACCAATGAAAGTTCATACATGTTGTAATGGTTTTGTTTGATTGATTTTGAAACAACTGAGCTCTTAGGTTGGGCCTACATATATTAGGTTCCTAATTCTTGGATAAGTTTGACATCTCATGCACATTGAAAA